TTACAGATGTTTCGTGGGCAACTCAAACCTGTTGTGTCCAACACGCTTCCACTATTCCCTCTAAGCCTCTCTTCCCAAATCGTTAACCATCTCAAGAAAAAGCAACTCCATTCTCCAGTTGCTCATGCCCCAACCTGGGCGTTGTCCTTGACTTTCCTCTTTCTCTCGCATTCCATGTCTAGTCTAACAGTAAATCTTGTAGACTCTGCCTCCAAAATATGTCTACTGTTTCTCCCCATCTCCATGGCCACCAGCCAAATCAATACATCACTTCCTAACTGGTCTCCCTCCTTCCATCCTGGCCACACTGGTCTTCTCAGAACAAGTCAGATGATGTCACACTTGGGCCCAGATCCTTCCTAAGGCTCCTCATACCATGCCGAGTAAAAGCCAAAGTTCTTATGATCATCTGCAAGACCCTCTGCAAGCTGCCCCCGTTTTCATTACCACCCTAACTTCTTGGCTAACTATGTGCCCTTTGCTCACTCTGCTCCAGCAACACCAGGCACTCTCCTGCCTCCAGGCTCTTGTACTTCACTGCCCACTGAAGCCTTCCCTGGCCATTCTATGTTAAATGAATCCACTTACCACTCCCCCCCCAACCCCCACTGCCACCATTTTCCCCAAATCTAGACTAGCAAAGAACACAGATTTGGAGGGGGGAAGAGGGGAAGACAAAATGTCTCACTATATCCAGGCTGGTCTTGAACTCTTGACCTCCAGCGATCCTTCGACCTCAGCCTCCAAAGCAGCAGGGACGACAGGTGAGCACCATCATGTCTGGCTAAACAGCACAGACTAGAAGCTCATGTTGAAAGAATGACTGAATGAGCCTCGAACTCATCTCCCATTTCCATAACAAAATGTAAAAAAATAGGTTCTGAACTCCAGCCCCTATAGCTTGGCACCCATGTTTCCCTGTTTCTCTCTCCACCCTTTATTCTTATTTCATGAAGAAGTATCTCACCTCCTGGTTGGGGCTACATTTTCCACCTTGGTCCTACGCCTATCCCCTCCTACCTCCCTAGAGGACTGATTCCATCCATTTCTTTCTTTCTGTCATTTTCTTCTCCTTTCCTTCCCCCATTCCTCCCCCTTCCCCACCTAAAACATTCTCATGACTTATATTTACAAAAAAAAGTTCCCAATCTCTTGCTATCCTCTTTAGCTACCACTCTCTCCCCTTTTGTCACAAAACCACTCAAAAGAGTAGTTGGTTTGCTGTCTTCACTCACTCTCCACTCATCCCCTATCCCTCCCGGTCTGGTTTCTGTCACCACTAGGGCACTGAAAATAGGCCTTTGATGTTTTTCAAAGGGGCCACCGAATCGGCAAGCCCCGTGGATTTTTCTCAGTCCTCTTCCTCAGGATCTCTCCAGCCTGACATTGCTAACCTCCCGCCCCTCCTCCTTGAGACCCTTGACTGTCTTGACTTGTGTGAGGACACACTGTCCTGGTCTCCTGCCATGACCTAGGCATTTTCTCAGTTCCTTTGCAGCCTCTACTTCCCTGCATGGCTATTCCATCCTAAGTTCTTTTCTCTCCACGCCCTCTGACCCTGAGATCTCATCCACGCCCAGAGCTTTAACCTTCACCTTGGAAAGAACAATTCCAGAATCTCTAGCTCTTCCCACTCTCTCAAGCTCCGATTCTGGATGTTCATCTGCCTTCCATACATCACTACCTGGGGCTTCACGGTCATCTCAAACTCAGACGTATCTCACGCTGAGGCTTCATCTTCCACCAAACCAGCTCCTCTTTCTGCCTCTCGGCTTGTGCATAGAATCATCATTCTGTTTCTATTCGTGGAGCCTCAGAATCATCTTCGATGTCTTCCTCTCCCTCATCCGCCACAGACAATCAATACATAAGCGCATTGGTTCTACTCCCAGTGTCCGCCGCATCATCTCTGTGTTTTCATTTCCGTGGTCAGCACCCTCACCCAGCCCCTACCACTTAGGCTATTTAATAAGCTCCTAGCATCTCCCGGCTCACAAGCTCTCCTATTTAGCATCCTTCCTGCCCAGACCCACCAGATGTTCCATCCTCAACGACAGCTCTGATTGTGGCACATTCCCCTGACTAAACCACAGTAATAGCTTATTACATCGTTGCTAGGCAGAAATCCAAACTCCTTGGTCTAGTACATAAGACCATCCAGATACAGACTCCAGACTACCTTTCCCAGCTCTCTCTTACACAGCCAATTTGCTCCTAACTTATTCACTATTTTTCCACATCTCCTATGCTCGCCTGGTGTCACTGTGAACATTCCCTGTCCAGTGACCACATCCACTGTCAAAATCCTATCCATCTTCCAAGGCTCAGCTTAAAACTCACACTCAACACAGCCTCCCCAGTCTCTCCCGTTGACAGTGATCTCTTTACTTCCCTCCCACAGAACTTTCTCCATACCTCTCTGATTGCAAAAGACCTCATTTTAAAGTTCCTGTTTTTTCTCCCCTCCTACTAAACACTAGACTTCTTAAGGATAAGATCCATATCTTATTTCCAACAACCACTGATATCTCTACCTCTGGAGACATCTGAGATCAGTCCAGTCACAGAATCAGGAACTTAAGATAACTCAATTGGACTTCCCAACTCTGACTCTTATTTCTTTTTCTTGTCTTATTGCACTGGCTAGGTCATCCAGTATAACGTTAAGTGATAGTGATGGTAACAGGCATCCTTATTTTGTCCCTGGCTGTATCAGGAATGTCTCCAATGTTTCACAAGAAAGTGTACTGTGTGCTATGGGTTTCTGGTAACTTCCCTTTATCAAGTTAAGAAAACTACCCCTACATTCTCTAAGGTTTAAGCTGAAATAGGAAGGGTGATCAGATCAAAATGGAATGAACCAAAGACATGCTACTCAAGTATGGAGGACAAGCACTGCAGACACCTGAAGTGCTCCTAAGGAAGTAATGCATGCAGGACCTACTGACATAAGAAATTCTGCTCATGACAGGGCCTGGACCAAAGAGGCAACTTCATAGCCCAGGTGACCAAATATAACTGCTTCCTCTATACACCGCACCCTTTCTCCTGACTGAGTTAGGCACCTTTGGTAGAGGAGATGGTAACAGGGTTAGGGAATGGGGACACTGTGCCCACAATATCCTTCCTTCCCTGTGACTTCATGGTAGCCAAAGTCTAAGAGGCTATAGGACACGGAAGCTGACAGTCAAAACCTCAGAAGCTGGAAAAAGAGAAAGGACTAAGGAAAGGTTCACTATGAAACACGCATTCTTCCAGAGCCATTGGGGTGATGGTTCCTTGTTGGACCAGCTCCAGGAGAGCTGCAAGGAAGGGATTTGGGCGGGAGAGGAAACCCATTCTGCTCCTCTAGAGAGAAGTCTCCTGGAGTTCCCTTATTAGACTAGAGCATCACTCAGGCCACCACCCCAGCTCTGGAAAATATTGGGAGATGAATTAAATTTCCAAGGAATCCGAGAAGTCCCACTCTTCTCTCCTCAATAAAACCAAGAGGAAAAGGGTCTCTCTGACGAAGCAGCCAGGGGAGTGTCCGTATCTCAGGGCCCAGATGTGGGAGAAAGAAGTTGAAGCCGTGTCAGACCACCCATAGAGTGTTTCACCCCTTGGGCTAAGAGCTGCTCCACCTGTGCTCTGAGGCTCAGGTAAAAGCAGTGGGGTACTGCTAGACCAGCTCTCCAGGAGATGAGGCACAGGCTACCAATTCCACAGTGTCACTACTCCCACTGCGGCCTATTTCAAGCTACCAAGAGTAGAACCGGGGACTCTGCTCTGCTCTGAAGTATAGGAACAGGGCATCCATGCCCCACACCCAGGTCCTGAGCCAGCTGGCCTCCCCAAACCCACAGTCCATCCCCAGGGCAGGCGTCTCCTCCCCTCCCTGCAGCTGGCATGGTGACTCAGCTTCCCCTAAATTTAGGAAAGGGGTGGAGGACAGAGTCAGCTGCCCAGACGTCTCATTTCCCCTGTGAGCTCCCACCACCCTGTCAGCTGAGGGGTTGGTACAAGGCCCACCTAACCCCACTGTGCCTTGTCCACTCCTGCCTGGTCTTCACTTCCACAATAAAATCAACCCACAGCATTTTCCACCCAGTTTGGCTGCTCTATGGAATGGCCACAGGCTTAGGCAGTGGGAAGGAAGAGAGCTCCACAGACCTGGACACTCTGCCATTCCTTGCCTTGCTCTCCCCAATAAGCTCTACTAGTTGTCCCACTCTTTCTCCTCTCTCCAGAGAGATAAGCCCACTCCCTGATAGGGAAAGGAGCTCTGTCTCAGTGCCTGCTTCCCATATGGGGTTGGTCCTAAGCAAGGACTAACAGGAAAGTTGACCAAGAAGGGGGACCTGGTCTCCCCCGAAAAACAATATCCTGAAAGCCCCACCAGGTTGAACACTCAGAGAGAGCCCAAGGGCTTGGAGATACCCTCTCAGGCTTCCTTCTGGCTTCTGGGCAGGCCTCTGACAAACTCTGAGTCTGCAAAGCCCTCCCTCCAGCCTTCTCCATGCTTCCCCCAAGAAACTGAAGTCTGAGGACAGAGAACATGACAGACAATCACTGAATCTCCCCCCTGCCTCCAGTACTCCAGTCTTAATGTCACCACCTCCAGGAAGCTTCCCCTGACTGCCCTAGATGGTAAGCTTTGCTTTCCCAGGTTCCGGGATCTTGGTCCCTGCCTCTGTCATAGCACACATTGCCTTCTTCTGAGAATTGTCTGTGTACCTGTCCCCTCACTAGACTCCAAACTCCTGAGGGCAGGAACTGATAGACATTGATCTCCGAATCTCAGTACCAGGTTTGGAGTCCAGCAGACAATGAATTCAGGAAGGGAAAGATGACTAGCACATGGACTTCTAAGAGCCTCTTCCCCAGGCCAAAGCAGCACCTGCCGAGGGGGCACTGCTGTGTCTATACCTCCCCCCAGCAAGACCAACCAATACTAAAGAAGGAAGGGTAGAAGGAGTCAGGAGGGAATATCCAAGGCGAACAGTCCCTGAGGCTCTTACCTGCTACCCTGTGGGCCACCAGCCCTTCCAGGTTCAATGGCTCCTCCTCTGGAGTTCGGGAGGGATCTGAAATCACTTCCTTGGGTGGGAGCTGAGGCTGAGTAGTGAGGCCAGGGAGAGAGGCCGGGGGCTGCTGAGGCCCTGGAAGGCTGTGGGTGGTTGGAAGGAAGGTGGGCGAGGAGGAAGAAGCTGGGCTCTTTGGACGGAAACCCTGGCTGGGCCCAGCGGGACATGGTTGATAATCGTAAGGCGAGTAAGGCCTGCCGGGAGGGACGGACTCCACAGAGGCCCGCAGGGCCGGCTCAGGGGTTCCCAAGGAATGCCCACTGGGGATGTAGCCAGATCTAGACTGAGTCAGTGGGTGAGACTGGCGGGAGGAGCCGGACAGGGGCTGGGAGGAGAGCGGGGAAGCCCCTGGCCAGGCCCCTGGGACACTCTGGGACTTGTGCAGAGGGGCCGAGGCTGGCTCCAGGTCCAGCATCAGCATGTTGAGTGCTTCGATGGACTGTTCTATCTCCTGCTGGGAGGCCGCCCTCGGGAACTCAGGTAGACTGGGGATGGGGGTCTCTGCCAATGGCTGGGGGCTGGGCCTGCCGGTCCCAAGATTCTCCAAGTGGACTCGCTCCTGCTGGCGAGGAGGCGGGCGAGGCTGCTGCTGCTGCCATGAACTCAGTCCCCGCTGCACCGCCTCCCGGCTGCTTCCGCTGCGGGCTGGAGCTGGGGGCAGCTGGGGCTCGGCTTCCGAAAAAGACTGAGAGCGGAACATACCGCCGGGGTCATGGCCATAGTGGGAGGCGGTCACTGGCTGTGGCCAGGCTGGGTGGGGGCCCTCCCGGTGATAGCCAGCTAAGCCCTCCTGTGCAGAGTAGGAGGGCCGCATGGGGGCCGTGGGGCCGGCATGGGCAGGCACCGCCCGGCCGGCAGATTCAAAGGGGTAGCCCCCGCCATTGACCATAGGTTCCACGGAGTAGGGCTTGTCCAGACCATTGGTCAGCGGGGACAGAGCCTCTGGGTAGCCACCCTCACTGGTGTTGGTGACCCCATCCAGGGACGACAGCGTGCCCATGCTGCCCGCGCTGTGCCCGTCCTGGTTGGGCAGCTCATCGTCCAGGATGTCCGTCTCCCGCTCAGACGCCAAGGCCCCACCATTGACGTGAATCTGGGCTGGGACGACATGGCGGCCCGAGGAGGGCATGGCCAGGGCCCCCACCGGGCGGGTCCTGAGGTTCTGGGTGTGGTACATGGCGCCTTGCTTCTCTCGCTCTAAGCCAAAGCCACTCAGCAGGCGGTCCAGCTCCCGCTTCTCCTCAGGACTCAGGGCAGCAGGGCCGCCGGAGGCCCCGGGGGCAGGCTCATCGGTCTTGTCTGTCTTGGTGGAGGCTGTGGAATTGCCCGAGTCACTGCTCACAGACAACGTGTGCTCCACGTGGTTGGGGGTGGCGGACAAGGTGGGACGTGTGGCATTGACAGCCCCGGTGCTGCCGTGCAAGGAGTCCTTCTTCTTCACTTTGGCGTACAGGCTCCCGTCCAGTGGCCCCTGGGTGTGTCCCACCACCTCTGTAAGGGACAGAGCCGGAGGGGAAACAACAGACAGCAGACATCAGTGGGAGACAGGGGCATCATTCATCTTCCCGAGAAAAGAGCTAAGAGCTCCCATTCCCTGGATCCTAAACCTCCTCCCACCACCCTGAGGACAGGAAAAGGGAAGGGACGAAAGGACCCCTGGCCCAGGCTTTGGGGCAAAGCCTCCCCAGTGGCCAGCTCCAGACCCAGGCTGTGGAGCCCAAGACTGAGCAGGGAGCCCTGGGGGAAAACTTCCCTAATCCCAAGCCTAGCACCCCGAATTTCACTAGCTTCTTGACCACAGAGGCACGAACGACTCTCTGAGCCTCAGTTTCTTCATCTGTAAAATGGGAATAATCATAGAACCAGGTTGAACCACATTAAATGGCCAGTGTTCACTAAACACACAGTGCTTTGAGCTTGAATAAGTTGGCACATGGGTTCTAAAACCAGCCCCCAGCACACGGTGAGAGGTCAACCGCCGGGAGCCACAGCCATCACCTTTTTGAGTATCATTAATTCCTGAATGGCAATTTCCAAAGCATCACCGGAGCCCTCTACCCACTCCATCTCAGAAAGCTTCATCCCTGCTCTGATTCCTGGAATTTCCACCCAGGATTCGAGGCAGAACACCAGGAGAGGCAGCCGTGGCCCTGAATGCACTGGGAGTGTGAGCATGGAGATCTAGTCTTCCCCTGAGAACAGACGTGGCCCAGGGAATCATGGGGAGAGCCTAGGAGGGCAACAGGCTGCAGTGAGGGGTCTACCATGCACAAGGTGGAGGTGATGGTGGGGAAGACCGGAGGCAGGGCTAAGACTCTCACGTCTTCACAATTGAGTTTCTAAGGCTCAACACAAAGAACTTCCCAGAACCATACAACGCCATTCACTCCACCACCACCACTGCATTTCCAGAGGCCTCACCCAGCTCTTCCCACAGCACTGCTCAATCCTCACAGACCCCTGCCTCACCACCGGCAAGCTCAACCCATAACACCCAAGCCTCCAGGGAAGGGACGCTGGCCAAGAGAAGGTCAATAGGCAGGAGGGCAGCAGGCCTGCCAGATGAGCATCCAGACCCCGCCTCAGTCTTGGACTGCGGCGGAGTTCAGCAAAGCCAACAGCTGACACGCTTTCCCTATGCTTGTGGGGGTTGGGGGGCATGCAAGTGCTGATGGAGGGGGCTCGAGGACCAGAATGGTGAAGGAAGCAAGAGGTCTTCCTTGGGGAGAGAGAGGGGCCCTTTTGTCTGCAGACAGCTCTGGGGACCCCCGTGAGCAACACTTTCTCTGAAAGGAAAAAGTGAGCATTGGGTGGCTCAGGGCCAAAGGGCTGACTCAGGAACGAAGAACTTCCCCCGCCCAGAGGAACTCAGTGATTTCACACCCGGTACAGTCAGCAGCCCAGCCTCCTGACCAACACACACACACACACACACACACACACACACACGCACACACACACACACACACAAGCACAACCCCTCCCTCACTCCCACCCAGGCCCTCAGTTGGCAGGGAAAAAAGCCCCCTCCCAAGACTGCCCCAACTCCAGCCAGACACCAGCAGTCACACACAGAGCCAGACACAAAGATGGCCGGAGACACACATGCCAACCAGAAACCACCCACATCAGACGCACACAGGGATATGCACTCGCTAGGTGTCCACACGACGCCAGAACTGTGGGCAGAAAGCCCGGGCCTGGGTGAGCACAGGCCAGCACCAACAATACTAGCTGTCGTGCTGTGAACTCATCCCACACTCCCCATACTCCACACACTTCACAGGCTCTTCTTACACGCGTCACCTCCAACCTGGTGAGTCAGAGAGCATTATGCCTATTACAGGGGTGGAGAAACTGAGGCTCTGAGAACCATTCATTTGCAAACACATAGTATCTGACACAGCTGAGATTGAAAACAAAGACCAATTTACTCCAAAGACCATGCAATTTGTATTATGCTACACTTCTCTTGTAACACACGCACACAGAGTGAACACATAAAAGAATAATCCTAAATAAATACTTAAAGCCACACGCATTGCAGAAAATACGAATGTTCCCATCATGCCCAAGGATTGGCCCTCAGGCCAAAAGTGGCTGCCTCTAAAAATAAACACTCACACAGAAGTCCATGGCCAAAAACAAGTGATCATAGGACCACAAAACAAGGACAACCTGATCAACACACACACACACACACACACACACACACACCAGGCTTGGTGCTCCACCCATTCACTGAATTCTCCAGAACCGTTTCTCCGCCCCCAGTTTTTCCCAAGGCTCAGGGACCTCAGCCAGTAGCCAACCCCAAGCAACACGGAACCAGGGTATCACAGCAGCCTCGGCTCACAGGGCCAAGGGCTGGTCTGAACTGCTGGTTTTGACAGAGATACATTCTGAATCTCCACTGACCTGGACCCCTCGAGGCCGCTAAGATGTAAGTCCAGGTGTGGCTGCCTCTCTCAACTCCCTTTCCAACATCTTAAAGGGGCCCACGCTGTAGGATAAAAGAGGCTGCCTCCGCCCCATGCCCCCCAAAGAATGGGGCTCCTTGCTACCCACAAAACAGGGGTCAAGGGCTGAAAACAGGAGCCCCTCATCCACTCAGGTTTCAGGAGTGGTTTCCCTGCAGTTGGGGCCCCTCAGACCAGTTAGGGGGGACTCTGAAGAGCCAGCTGTCCAGCTCACTGTGCCTGGAAAGCCACAGGCCCTCTCCTGGGGCCCCACTCAGCAGCCGACACCGTGAGAGGCCAGAGTGCCTCTCCTGGGTTTCCATCCTCACACTCCCTCATCCACCAAATCCGTGCTCACGTGGTCTGGCAAGTGAGAGAGTCACAAAGCAAATGCTGGTGTGTCCAGAGGCTCCCTACTTACAGTTAGACATGGATGGCAGTGACAGCCACTTGGTGCACAAAAGCTTTCAGCATGACAGCGAAACAAGAGAGAGAATCCACTACCTGCTATCTTCACCCTTCTTTGCCTCTGTGGCCAGGCTCCACTCTGCATCGATTTTGAAAACATCAATATTAAACTTATTCCACCATGTAATGTATCCCCACGTGGGCTACTGTTGCAGGACAATATCAGGAAGCTTAGTAAGAAAATCGAACAGGTGTAAATTGTTTAATTAAATCCTGTGTGCTAAATACAAATGGAAAATGCCTCTTGCTGTCCTCCAAGAATGAGCCAATGGCTCCCAGCCACCCAGGGCTGGCCCCAAAGACTGCCTGCACCAGGACATTCTGCCCCTTTGCTGAGTCGTCCTCCTCTGCGTATCCATGGGAGATTCTGAGGACGCCTACCTGGTCCCAGGCCCATCCAGCTCCCAACAGGGTCTCTCCTGAAAGCCCAGCATAGAGGCAGGATCTGTGGGGCACGCTCCCCTCCTCCTCCCATCAGAGGCAAAGGCAAGTGTCCCCTCAGCCCCCACACGGGCGCACATACACTTGTCGCTCTTTTCTTCCTATCTACCACGGCCACATTAAGAGCTCTTTACCGGGACCACAAGAAGCCAGAACACAATGTTGGTTCCAATCTATCAAGGCAGGTAGGGCAAAAGAGATGCGGGCAGAGAGGGCAAGAGGTGAAACAAGGTGGGAGAGGAGAGGAGAGGGGACTCAAAGGGAACTGGGGGGGGAGTGGCTTTAAAGCCCATAAGCTGAGGGGCTACCAGAGCCATCTCCCCGAAGTCCCAGCGGCCTCCGCGGGAGCGGCCAGTGCAGGTGACACCATCTCAGATGAGAGAGAGTTGGACATCCAGTGGGAGGAGGCACGGGGTAGAGGGAGAGGTCTGTGTGGTTGGGGGCCCAGGGTACCTGCACAGGTGACAATCAAACACAAGTTGCAGACCGCCCCAGGTGGAGCGCTACCAGGCCTCTTGCCCAGCCAACTGGGACGTCGCTCTCATGGGCAGAAAGGCTCGGCACCCCGCCCGTTTCCCTAAGGCAGCTGCAAAGCCCACTACCCCTTCAGGGACCTCTTGCTTTGTCTGCATATGTCTCCTGGCTCTTCTCAGAACTGCAGGAAGCCCCGGGCTCCACCCTCGATGCCGGGCTGGATTGCACCAAGGGGCCCTTATTCCAGGGCGGCCCTAATCCAGATGTGCGAGTCATGCTTTTGGAAAGCTCCGAGGAAAATCCCCAGCTGACTTGGATGTGGACTCACTCCCTCCCGGCAAAGGGTGCGGAGGTGCGCATGGTGCTGGGAGTGCAGCCAAGGCCAGGGTGCGGGAAGGAGAAGCCACATCCATCAGACACATTTAAAAAAAGAACAAAGGAAATAAATAAGGAGCGCTCGAGTTAAATGATTTTGGGGCAGTTGTTTTCTAATTTTGATGCTCATAAGAGCCTCCCACCCAGATTGTTCAAAAGGTAGATTCCAAGACCCTCCCCCAAAGACCTCCATTCAGAGCACTGGGGTGGGGCCAAGAATCAGCATTTCACCAGTTCTCCAGGGCCCAGTACACACAGGGTGGATGCCATCCTTAGGAATCCAGACAGACTCAGGGGATTGGTGCTTTGGGCTCTGAAGTCAAGGCCTGCACCCTTGTCATCCTAATGTGACACAAGGAGATTTTGCTTATGTATGTGTCAGAACAAACGGCCCAACAATGAAGACTAAAATGTGCCAGCTGGGTTGTCTGCAAGAAAGGAGTCTCCCTGGTTGGCAGTGACTCAGTGAAGAGAAATCCCTCCCTGTACAACCAGCAGGTCTGTGAGTGATTTATTAAGATTTTCAGAATGGGGCCCTTCATGATAAAAAGTCCTTTGGGTCCACGTCCAGCACGTAACAATTCATTAAAATACATTACCCAGAGCAGTGATAACCAACCAACATGGAAGAAAATCAATGCCATGCCAATAAGAAGAGGCACTGTGCTCACCCTGGACACGGGCAGTTTGGAGGCAGACTGGGCAGAACTCTTTAAAAGAAGGAGTGGGGAACCCACGACCACGTGCACCCCAGAGGGAGGTGAGCTCTGAACA